GCCTTAATACCCTGTTTTTCCGATTGGGATCGATAAGGTCGTTTTTTCTTTAAAATAAATCAGCACCATGCACTCTAGCACGTTCCTCATGTATGTTAGTGAGCGACCTGTGGCGTGTTTACCTTGCAGATGAGTCTGGGAATGAGCAGCAGCACCAGGATGCAGTCGTGATCTCCTCCGTGACGCAGGAAGGACTCGGGCATGAAGGAGGTCAGCAGAGAGACGTGTCTGTTAGCCTGACCCACCTCCATCTTCCTCAGCTCCATCTCAATGGCCTAAAGACAACACAACACAGAGAGCATGTGTTTAAAACTCAGGATACAGACATTTAAAATAATATACAGATCCTGCATTATGGATACATAAGCACAGTTCGAGATAAAGGGGGATGGAACAGGATATTCAGGCTGATTTATTGTTTCATTATTCAGACAACAGAGCTGACCTTGGCGTAGGCCTTCGTCTCTGCAAACTTAATCTTGAAATCAAACATCTCTGGGGCCGGTTGCTGCTGCAGCTCGGCGGAGGCTTCCTGCTGGCTGGTCAGCTCCCTGTTCACCTCCTGCAGAAACAGAGGAAGAAGAATATTTACACAGAAGGAGCTGGGTAGGCTACACCCATACCAAGAAATGGCTTAGCCCCACCATGAAAAATAATGTTAAAGTAATCAAAATAAAGTCCGCCAACTCGCGCGGAGTAAATTGCACAGACGGCAGTTAGTAAGATTGATTCCAGTAGCCACTTGTCTGGAAATACCGAAGACTAGAAACGGTTTTGAAAACTTTTGTCACGTAGTGATCGTCTTCTCAATAGAACATCTTTGATAATGTCTTCTGGCCAATCAGAATCAAGATAACGGCGTGGTGTTGTTGCAGGAAGTCCCGACGGAGAATACTTTTGCTGTAGTACATCTCTATATACATCGATACTATCAACACGTAATGACCCCACGGTTTGATGATTGATAGGTGTGTGGGCTGTCTTTCATTTTGACATACAGAACAATGTTATAATAAACATACATACTACATGTTAAATGGATATATCCGCCTTCTTTCATTTATCTTTCCATTCCCACAACAATATACA